TGGATGGGGGGACTGGATAGGATAGAAGAGAGGATTCTGTCAGGGGGGTGGTAGATGCGATGAGATGGGGGTTGGATAGGTAGATACAAAGGGGGTGGATAGAGCAGCTGCGGGGGCACTGGGGAGCTAAGAAGTGATTCTCCATTTCCCTTCCACAGGGGCAAACTTCTTTTCCTATGTGGCTATGTCATGCCTGGCACCCGAGAGCTATGAGGCCGGCCCCTTTACAGAGACCTTCCCACACAATATCACCATGTGGGTGAACATCGCCTACTGTGACACTGATGGCTGCAACGCCGGGGCCATCCCAGGTGTGTGTCTGCTGCAAACCTAGACCCCCTACTCTGGCCACACCTGCATGGAGAGAAGTCAGGAATCCTAGCTCCCAGCCCCTGCCCCCACTCTAACTACTAGACCCCATTCCGCTCCCAGAGCCAGTGATGGAACCCAGAAGTCCTGGCTCCCAGCCCTCCCACTCTAACCACTAGACCCCACTCTCAGCGCTGGGATCGAGCCCAGCATCTGGTGACTCCCCACACCTGTTTCCTTTTGTGCATTGGCTGAATAAAACATGTGATGGGCCAAAGAGGTAGCCTCTGTTCTGTGCACAAGAAATACTGGTAGCAAGAGACTCCAGGAGTCCTGAAACCCAGCCCTCCATGCTCTAATTCACCTGATCCCACTCTTCTCCTAGAGCTGGGGATAGAACCCAGGAGTCCTAGCTCCCAGCCTCCTCTGCTCTAACCCACTAAACCTCAACCCCCTCCCAGGACTGCCTCTACCTCCTCCCCAAAGGCAAGGCCTAGGTGGCTGGGGAAAGGTGCGGGCTGGCTTAGCTGCCTCTGGGGAAGGAGGCTGTGGGCACTTGAGGCAGTGGCTTACCCAGCCATGCCGGTGGGTGGGAACATGCCGGAGGAGGGAAATGTGCCTCCGGGTTAATTTCACAATGCTTAGGGCTGTGAAATCTCCCATCTCCATCATGGACAGCCTCAGGTGACCTCTCCAGGGCAGGTATTTGCCAAAGTGCCTGCCATACCCACAATGTCAGCTGCGTCATCACTGCTCTGTTCATGGCAGCAAATGCCCGGGCACCATGTGGGCGCTCCTGCCCTTCTGCCTGCTATCCACTCTGCTGGCCACAGCTGAATCCATCCATTCCTGGGCACAGGGAGCCAGGCCCTGGAGTTTAGGACTGACAGGCATCCGGTTTTCGACCAGAACATCTGGTCGAAAAGGGACGTTGGCGGCTCCAGGCTGACCAGGCCGTTAAAAGTCCAGTTGGCGGGGCTAAGGCAGTCTCCCAACCTGCCCTGGCTCCGCGCAGCTCCCGGAAGCAGCTGGCACATCCAGCCTCTAGGTGCAGGGGCAATCAGGGAAGCACCGTGTGCTGCCCCCGCCCCCAGCGCTGCTATGGGTACAGCTGTGGGTGTAGCGCCTGCAGATGCTGAGCCTCCTGGCCAGCCCTGCGCCTAGGAGCTGGACATGCCGGCCACTTCCAGGAGCCGCACGGAGTCAGAGCAGGCAGGAAGCCTGCCTTAGCCCCGCTGCGCCACCAGCTGGGAGCTGCCTGAGGTAAGCACCAACCAGCCAGAGCGTGCACCCCGAACCCTAACTCCCTCCCAGACCCTGCACCTCCACCCGCACCCCAGCCCCCTGCCCCAGGTCGGAACCTCCTCCCACACCCTAACTCCCCAAGGCCGGCAGGGAGCTGTGAGCCCCAGCCTGGTATCCTCCCCTTGTGCTGCTTGGTGAGGGAGGGAGGGCTGCAGTTCATCTCCCATGGGCAGCTGCTGGGTCCTGCTTCTCTTTGGGGAGGGGGGTGTTGTGGTTTCCTTTTGTGCATTGCATGACTGAATAAAGTGTGTAGTGGAGCAAAGAACCACCTTTTTTTCTGTTCACAAGAGATTATTCCTGAGGGAATACTGTGCCAAAAAATTAAAAATTCTGCACACAATATTTTAAAACTGCAAAATTCTCCCCCCCCCCCGCCCGTAGCAGCCCAGCCGAGACTAGTAGCTGAGCCTGGCGCAGGGTAGGAGCCACCAGCCAATGCGTTCTAGCCCCCTCCACCCCGCAGTGATTTACCTCTCTGCCAGTTGTTCTGGGCACCCGAAACAATGCCCCCACACTGCTGGGGAGGGACGTGTGACCGCTTTTGTTGCTTCCCTTTGCTTTCCCGTCAGAAAATCATTTTTCTATGGGGAAGCAAAGAAATCTGCAGGGAACATGAATTCTGCACGCATGCAGTGGTGCAGAATACCCCCAGGAGTAACCAGTGCTAGATGCCATCTGCCCTTATCAGGAAGAAAGGCTGAAGCTAGTTATTGCTCCTCTGGGATGATGCAGATGAGAAGCTCTCACAACAAAGCACAAGATAGCGGAGGAAAGAGCGTTCTTATCATGCATTCTTCTTGTGTTGTCATTTCTCCTTTTACTGTGATTCTTCAGAGAATAAAACTGTGAACTCTGTCTGGAAAAGCATGAGTGTAACATTTGCCACAGGAATCAGTGGATACTGACCTCTGTCATGCAATAGGGGTGATAAGCATTTGTAACACTAACGCTAATGCCAGAAAATAAATACCAGTCTCTTAACAATAGTCCTGTGTGTCAAGCATTTATTATATGGGGTGAGAAGAAAATAGAATCTTTGGCAAAAATGGACCTAATGAAGCCACTTGAATTCTTGAGACTGGCACAGAAACAGACAAGGAAGGTGGTAGTACTGTTTCCATATTTTCCTTGCAGAAATATCAGAATGAAATCCCCCATACTGCTACAGGTGGCAGACACAGAGACACTGAAGATTTACAGTATTTTCCAGGGAGAGGATGTAGGAATGCCTAACTGCTAGACAAAGTCATTCTACAATTTCAATACTGTGATCCATGCAAGGATGTCACGTGTGTTGTGGGAATTAATTATTTAATGTTTAAGTGCATTGAATATGTACAGTGCTAAGCATTATTATTCATGACAAAGACACTTTAGTCCTGACTTGTACTTTGTTAGGGCAGTAATTACTGTGGTGATTCATGTCCACACTACCCTCCTTCTATCGCTGGGGAACAGGGAGCCGAGAGCCTCCAGGCAGCAGCCAGGCTCCCTGCAGGAAGCCAGGAGCCCAGGCCTTAGAGGAACTTTTCATATTTTGTGCCTTATTTGCCCTGCTACTATATATATTGTATCTACTACCAAAACCAATTTTGTGCAGGAAAACTTGAGTAACATCCTTCATGTAGTAAATAACAAAAGAAGATCTGAGTCTTGAAGCAAACAACAGCTGCATCAGTTAGATCACTTTGAGCTTTGTTGTAACACACACATTAAGATCTACTACATAGAATATTAAAGGATAGCGCTGCTTTGAAAAGTGATTCTAAAAAATGATATAAAACTGTTCCAAATTTATTGTGTCTCCGTGACTCTAGGTCAAATCTTATATTAAATTTATAAGCACAGAGATGGATTGTCTAGCTGCTGTCCTTCCAGACTCATGAGAAGTCAAAATGGGTTTTTCTTCCTGGCTCAAGCATCCCCAACAATAAAGGTTCTGCAGTTAACACTTGTTAACAAGGCAGTGGTCAGTGCATGAGGCAGAATGGAATCCAGCTCCTTCTTTCCAAGCTGCAGTGGCTCTACAGGGAAAACAGGAGTAAGAAGTAGCAAGATCTTATTTGGCCATGTCTATACTACCACTTATGTTGGCAAAATTTATGTCACTCAGGGGTGTGAAAAAAACACACAGCTGAGCAACATAAGGTATGCCGGCAGAAGTGGTAGTGTGACAGCACTGTGTCGGCAGGAGAGCTTCTCTCACCAACATAGCTACCACCTCTCGTTGGGGGTGGTTTAATTATATTGACGGGAGATACAGCAGCTGCATGAGAGATCTTACAGCGGTGCAGCTGCATCGGTAGAGCTGTGCCGCTATAAACTCTCTAGTGTCGACATAGCCTGAGTCGACAAACTCAGCAGATATGACTCAGAACACACTCACGGAGGAGATCTGCCAAGTAAGCGCCCATTATCACAATCACTTTTCACCATTTACCCACATTAATACTCTTGATCCGTGAGGCAGTAGGTAAAGATGAAAAATCTTCTTTTATGGGGCAACTTGGTAAGACAATCCCATTCAACTGCCCATTGGCACATCTCAAGCAAAGCAATCTAAGGGCTCCACTAGCACCAGAAATTTGTCAGATGAGACACACATAGGAACTCCTTCAGGCACCAGGCCCAGGGTGAGAGGGATGCATGGGGGTCATGGGGCAGGGGCGACGGGCCCCAGGATGAGAGGGATGGGTGGGGGTCATAGGGCAGGGGTGACGGGCCCCAGGGTGAGAGGGATGGGTGGAGGGTTGTGGGGCAGGGGTGACAGGCCCCAGGGTGAGAGAGATGGGGGGTGGGTTGTGCGGCAGAGGTGACAGGCCCCAGGGTGAGAGGGATGGGGTGGGTTATGGGATGGGGTGATGGGCCCCAGGGTGAGAGGG